CTAAGAGTGGCTGCATTGTTGTACACGATTTTTTACGAAACAAAGTATCATAATTTTATCTCGTGGAAAGCACTATTGGTGAATTTGCAAATCACGATCTCACAAGAAGAGCAATTGAAATTACGAGGAGATGAGGGGGTGGGATTGAAGCTAGCTTTTGTTACATTTCTTGGACTTTAATAGCTTGCAATCATTCGAGACTTTCAAATAAGGGCCAGATTTTATTTAATTCCATATCTTACTTTTACGAGATCACTCCTAAAACTGAGCATTTAGAATACATGTATAGGAAACATTCAGGGAGATTAACGCAAATGGTATAAAACCAATCCAGGAGATTTGGATGTGCTAACTAAATGTTGGATATTGGTTAAATAAATCAAGAATTGAAAAATCGATTAAAGTGACTTCGTATCGACTTCGGCCAAATACTCAAAAGCTCAACTCAATCTGTTTAGGCAAAATTGTTTGCCCCTTCGCCGCTTCGGGGCGCACAAACGGGGATCGACCTGCCCGGTCAGGTCGCGGAGGTCGAGGGGGCAGCGCCCCGAAAGAGAATTTTGATTTCTCTGCATATATTGAAGGGTATATTTGGCATTTCGAAAATCAATATCGGATGAATGAGAAATTACGAAAAAGGACGAAAATCAGTGAATAGACACCTTTTCATAAAAGTACATTGTTTGGAAAGGGTGCATGGTTTGACCTCAACCATTTCGTCCACACCCTTTCATGGTCTATAAATAGGACTCTTTGGGTGTCCTATTCCACACAATTTGATATGCAAAACGTCTCTCATTCTCTCTTCTGTCCAAAATCAAAATCATTTCATTTATTTTGATTTTCCTTCATTTCATCCTTGGAGTACATAAGCCTAAATTTGGTTCGTTGTACTTGTGTTTTGGAGTGCTACAAACACAAGTGTAGCCGTTGTATCTTGGGAGTCGATTGCCGAAATCCGTAGGCACCGTTGCGGGGCAAATTCGACTTAAGGACAAAGAGTCCAACTTTTGCCTCGACTTTGTCCCTACTTTCTTCTTCTTCTTGTTTACAAACCATCATTATACTTATTTTGGCGTCACTATTCACAAAATTCCTCCAACACTTAATACATTTCCAACAATACAAATATATATCCAAAAAAACGTTTCCAACAACTAAAGATTACAAACTTCTGGAAAATGTTGAAATAATGCAAGGCTGTATTTGAGTACAGAAACATACTCTACCACTACATTAAAAAATTATAAAAAAAAAAAAAAAAAAGACAAGAAATTGAAATGCCCCATGAAATGAGTAGCATATTTGATAAAACCTGAAAATTATGTACGGATAAGATAATCGATAACTAGCCTTTATTTAGATTTATAAATAATAACATATTTTTGCATTCAAAATACATCACCATTGCCTGGACATTTCATTCATTTATTCCACATCACTCTAAGATCGATGGACAAAATAAACTATCAACATTTACAGAGAAAAAATATCGAACAAATTTGCTACACAGTCATTAATGTATTTTTCTATGTAGAACTAATATCGTTGTTCAAGAGACAGACAACTAACGAAATTAAACATTTTTTATGCCCTTAGCTTCCTCTCCCTCCTCACATTACGTGAGTAGGGGCGGATCCAGACGACTTGGATTAGGGGGTCAAAAATAAAATTTATAGGGTATCTTCTAATAAAAATAAGCTATATATAAAAAAAAAGGTTAAACAAAATTTTTCTTTAATTTGATTTCTTCAAATTCATGTTGAATTGTAATTGAAATTCCATCAGTTCTTTGAAACACACATGCCTATTTTTTCAGGATGGTATATAGAGTGGAGTGATCCGTGGGATGTTTGGTGATTTTTTGAATTACATGGTTTTGGATTTCAATTTTGGTCAAAGACGGATAAGGTGAAATTGTTTTGTTTTTGTTTTTATTTTTTTTGTTTGGATTGTGACAAGTTATTTTTGGGGATGTTAAACATTAATTGTGGTAATTTGATTGGGCTTATTTGGTGGAGTGATATAAGTTGTCAAAATATTCAAATATTATGTTAATTTGATTATGATATTTCATTGTTTACTTTAGAAAAGTCAGTATTAATAGGGTAAAAAAAATGGGAAAAGTATTATATGAATTATTAACGAAAAATGGGTAATATGTGTAATTTACTCTTTAATCAAGTAACTTCATATTGGACTTAGAGCTCAGCCCATCATGCCATATATATGCGGGTGTGTGTGTGTGTGAGTTCATTTGATAATAAAGTATGTTTATTTTAATCTTAACCAAATCTCATCCCTCGTCTCTTGCACTCTTTATAATTCTTCAGCCATTGACTTAACTGTCAGAGTGCAAGCGAACTTCAGACATTTTTCTTGAACGTTGGCCTTTGTCTCTTGATATGGTGTTCGTGTGTGCATGTGATGCCTACGTGGAGGGAGTTGACAGGGATTTCTGTTGGTGCATTTTTTTATGCAAACAAACTATATTTTACAAAAATAAATAAAACCTTTTAATTAGTCAATAACATTTGAAATGTTTATCTTATTATAATAAAATCCTAATTCTTTTTGGTACGAATCCCAATGTTTACAAACTATTGGATAAAAACATCTTTTCTTTGAAAATTCAAGGGATCTTCAACATATTATTCTTTTCAGAAAAAGCAAAAGAGAAAAAGGAAAAAGCAAAAGGAAATAAAGGAAAGCAACATAGAAGAGAATAGGAAAATAACTATTCCTTCAGGGATAGATCCAAGATCGGGCTACAAAATTTCAAGTCGGGCTAATACGTGAAATTTTTTTTTTAAACACAAAAAACTATTTTTTTCCAAAAAAGAAAAAGAAAAATGCATTAAAAAAATAAATTTCTTAGGCCTTGGGGGGACTACAGTCCAGCCCATTCTCCCTATATCCGTCTCTGTATCCCTCACACAAGGATGGCAAAATAATTTGCTCTCATCCTGTTTATGCGAAAATTTTTATCGAAAAAGTCGTGTAAACTTCATCATAAATAGTTGAAATACAAACTAACCTCCATTTTTCTCAATACACATTTCAATGTACTCTTAAGTACTATCAACTTATTCATTAGTCATTTTTATTTTATTTATAAATTAAATCGTTTATAAATTCTCCCCTAAAAAAGTCTTGACTCTTATTTGACAACCATTCTTTCTCAACTTTATAATTCTAATACATTTTTTCTTTTATTTCTCTTTTTTTTAATCCCATTCTCCAATCACGTAAATTTAAAAATTTTTCTTTTTTTTAATCACATATTATTCAATAAAAATCACTATTACAAAATACATTTTTCCCAAAAACACATTAAAATATATCCCAAATAGGGGTCATTCTTTCTTTCTCATACTCACGTTCAACTACATATTCTTATAATAAAATATTTTTCATGTAAATCCAAAATTTTTTATTATTTTTTATCCACAAATGCTTCCAAAATTTACAATTCAAAAACCCATTCTTTCCAAAAAAATTCTCTCAAACAAGGGCATAGCTTATAGTGACATTTTCAAACATCTCAAATTAAAATTTTGTGCTTCATCTCGATTATTGTAATCGGGAATAAGATTGTCCACACACATTTTTCCACTACAATCTAAAGTGTCACGATCCATAGATTTAAGAGAGCATTCAATACTATTGAAAGTATTTCTCCAACAAGTTGCACGTTACTTGATTGATAATAAATATCGAGGAGTTATCGAGACCCCATAAATTTTTTTTAAAAAAAATGTTGCATTTCCAGGGGAAAATTTATTTATTTATTTTTGGCTTAATTTCACAAACGGTCACTGAACTTACAGAAAAATTACAAAACGGTCACAGAAGTTTAAAACTTTCAGTAACGATCACTTAAGTATTGTGACGCGTTAAAAAACGGTCATTTAAGTTTAAAAAGTTTCTAAAACGGTCACTGAAGTTGAAAAATATTTTTTTAGTTACATTTGCGACAATTTTTCGGCTACTTCCAACCACCGATACCATCGAATTTTGATACCATTGGAAAGCCCACAACGTTTTATTCAATTACCACTCAAAATCTCTCCGTAACACCAAGGAATTCGAGCGGAAAATCACCGCAAAAGTCACCCAAAAAAATCTGAAAATCTGCCCAAATTTTCAGATTTTTGGGCGACTTTTACGGCAATTTTCCAGCGACTTTCGACCACCAAGACCGCCAAATTTTGATATCGTTGGAAAGCCCACAATGTTCTCTTCAATTACCATCCAAAATCTCCCCCAAACTCCAAAGGATTCGATCGGAATAAACCCGCAAAGTCGGCATCCCAAAAAGGCGAAAATTTGGGATGTCAACTTTGTGAGTTTATTCCGGCTGAATCCTTTGGAGTTTTGAGAAGATTTTGGATGCTAATTAAAGAGGACATTGTGGGCTTTCCAAGGATATCAAGATTTGGCTATTTTGGTGGTCGAAAGTTGTCAAAAAATCGCCGCAAAAGTCCACAAAAATCTAAAAATTTGGGCAGATATTTGCCTTTTCGGGTAGCCAAATTTGTGGGTTTATTCTAGCCGAATCCTTTGGAGTTTGGGGCAGATTTTTTATTGTAATTGAAGAAGACATTATAGGCTTTCCAATGGTATCAAAATCCAGTTGTATCGGTCTTCGGAAGTGGTCGAAAAATTGTCGCAAAAGTAGCTCAAAATTTTTTAAACTTTAATGACCATTTTTGAAAGCGTTCCAATACTTAAGTGATCGTTGCTGAAAGTTTTAAACTTCAGTGACCGTTTTATAATTTTTCAGTAAGTTCAGTGACCGTTTGTGAAATTAACCCATTTATTTTTTAATAGCCTTTGTTAGAATGGAATCCATTGTAATAAGAAAATGCATATATTGAATAAATATGGACCTAAAATGATACACTTGAAAGTTTAGGGATCAAAATAAAAATATTTGAAAAAATCGAGAGCCAAAATAGTAATTTTCCATATAATTATGAAAATGCTACAAAAGTATTTTTGAGTTTCTAGTTTTGAATCTAAAAATGAGGCCAAAAACAGAGAACAGACGAAGAAACAAAACCGGTTCCTCCCCCACCCGTGCCCGACCCCGAAGCCCAATCGGGTCGGATACAACCAGTTCACGCACTTCACCTTCCTCAGCCGTACTTCTCGACAGCGGGCTTGTGACCGAAGAGCTCGCAATATTCGAGAGCCTCCAAATCTCACCGGAACCGAACGTGAATCCGAGAAGCTTCCCGCACAGTGTGAAGCAACAATGCTGGGCAAAAGCACAGAAAATCAAGGGTCGTGACCCCGATCGATGGCGCCGGGACCCGTTGGGGAACACTGTGTTTAGGAAGCTTGTGGGCTGCCCCGGTTGCCTTTGCCATGATTATGACCACATCATTCCTTACTCTAAGGTGATTTCGAGCTTCAAGATGTATTTTTGTTTCATCTTATCAACATCATGTTTTATTAATGATTTTGCTCATTTTTAAGCTATTTATTTTGTATGATTTTTAATGTTAGTGTTATTTTACTAATAAAACTTGGTTTCTATTTGGAAAAAATCGTCTACTAGTAATACGACAGAATTGACAAAACGGGATATTGACAAAACCAAAGATATGAAAATAATTTGACAAGAAAAATGCCTATTTTAGTATGTAAAAATCTTACAATGCAAAAAAAAAAAAAAAAAGGAAAAAAGAAAAAAATAAAATTCCACCGACCGTAGTCCAATTCAACTTTCACTATATCACAAATAATGTGAATACAAGACTCATAATCTAAGTAGGATGAATATTTGTAAATTGATTATGTACTGGAATCTAATACATATTCAAGTTTGGATACTCTTCGATATAACAGATATATTTTTTAATTTTTTGATACTATTGAATATGCATTTTCTAATTATTTTTATGCGTAGCGGATACATTAGGACACATGACCTGATAGCTACTTCATGGTTTAAATGCATCTTTGCTTCAAAGCATGGCTTTGAAACATTTCTTGCAGCCTTCTTCATTTCGTGGTGAAAAAAATTGGAGTACATATTCTTTTGTGCACTATATGAGAAGGAAGAAAATAATTCCACAACGAGCTGAAGAATTGGTTTTCATTCGTAGAAATTTGTGTCTTTTATCAAGAAAATTAGATCTCTATTTAAAAGGAGAATCCAAAATGTGGGACATTGTTGGAGATTTGTTTGATATTCTTGAAGATGTTGAATTGCTTGAGGTTGCTAATTTATCATTAAATGAGCCAGAGTTGAATAGTGTTATTTTAATTATAATGAAGAAGTTGATGATGATGTTGAAAAAATGAATTTGGTACAATTAAGGATTAAGATAAAATGCTTTAGTATTTTTCTTTCTGCACAAACAATTTTCTCTCTAGTCTCTCTAGCAGAGGCTTTTCGAAATTGTCACGTAAGTATGAAAACTCTCACCATATTTATAAAAAAAATTTGCAGTTAGCTGCAGATCTAGTTAAAAAGTTCAAAAGTTTTGACTTGATAAAGAAATGGTAAATATGAATTTTTTTACTTCATTTCTTACAATTGGTGCTTGCTATTTATCTAAATAATTGCAGCTAAGTTATCATTTTAGTAATTTACGTAGGCAAGTTCTTCGTTCTAGCACGTCTTCAATATTATTGGATATAGTTGTATCTTCATTGGTTGAAAGAAGATAACTTGGATTTTATTTCATTTCCTTGTAAAAAATCTCCACCTTTATCTCAATGATAATGGCTGCTCATAATCTTCATTTGCTAGAAGAAGCAAAATTGATTTTCTCTTCCTTGAATATTTGCTAACGTTTGTAGCAAAATTGATTTTCTCTTCTTTGATTTTGCACCAAGTTTTATTAGCGGTATACGAAGTTTGACCACTTTATGACTAGTTAGGAATACATTAGAACGGCGTTAGACCATTGTGTATTTGTAAAGAAATTTGTTGTTGAGAATTATATTATTCTCCTGCTATATGTTGATGACATGCTATTTGTTGGTCAAGATGTCAACAAGATTGCCAAATTTAAAATGGAGTTAAGTGTTTTGCAATGAATAACTTGGGATTAGCAACACAAATTCTCGACGTGAAGATATTCCATGATGGGAAGAATTGAAAGTTGTGGCTATTTTAAGAAAATTATATTGAAAAAGTTCTTGAAAGATTCAACATGAGTAAGGTAACATCCGTTTCTTCTCCACTTGTGAGTCATTTTAAGTTGACAGCTAAACAATGTTCTACAAGTTAGAAAGAAAAGAAGAAATGAGCAAAGTACCTTATGCATATGTAGTTGGCAGCTTGATGTATGTTATGGTGTGTACAATACCAGACATCGGTCATGCCGTTGGAGTTTCAGTTGATTTCTTTCAAATCTTGGAACAGAACATGGTTAGCGGTGAAATGGATACTTAGGCATCTAAGAGGTACTTCTAGGGTGCGCGTGCGCTTTGGTAGTGGTAAACTTGTGTTAGATGGATACACTAATGCATATATGGTAGGTGAGCGATTCTAGGAAGTCCACATTGGGATTCTTGAAAACATTTTCATGGGAGCTATTTCTTGGCAGTCCAGGTTGCAGAAATATGTAGCTCTATCATCCATGAAAGCTGTATATATTGTCATAACTGAAGCTCTTAAAGAAGCTTTTTGGATGAAGAAATTTTTTCAAGATTTGGGATTACAACAAGAAAAGTATGTTGTTTATTGTGATAGTTAAAGTGTTATCCATCTTTCCAAGAACTCAACATTTCATTCTAGATCAAAGCATATTGATGTCAGTTACCAGTGAATTAGTGATGTACTTGAAGCCAAGCTATTGAATTTAGGGAAAATTCATACTTGCAATATGGATCATATATGTTAATGAAATCTTTACCTAATGTGAAGCTCGAAGCTTTAAGGCAAGAAGTGGGTTCATAGAACCCACCACATGAGGCGGAGGGGAGATTTGTTGTGGGGTCCGCCACATGTAGCTTGGATAAAATCAATTTTGCTACAAATATTAGCAAATATTTAAGGAAGAGAAAACCAATTTTGCTTCTTTTAGCAAATGAAGATGATGGATAACCATTATTGTTGACATAAAGGTGAAGATGCTTGGCAAGGAAATAAAGTAAATTTCAAACTGTCTTCTTCCAACCAAATAAAGATAAGATTACGTTCTGGAGTGGAGACTTTGCCTAATTAATTCACTAAAATATGAGAATTTAGCTGTAATTATTTGGATAAATGGCAAGTATCAGTTGTATGAAATAAATAAAGAAAAATTTAGATTTGTCATTTCTATATCAAGTTAAACTTTTGAATTTTTAGGCCATCTCCAATGGGTGCCCTATTGCACCAAATTACACCAAAATTTGGTGCACCTCCCTCCAATCATTGCGCCATTTTTTGCAATAAATGGTGCAATGTCCTTTTTGCTCATCTTTTACATTTTTCAAAGATAATGGTTAAATGTATTTGTGTAATTTTCGTTTTATAATAATAATAATAATATTATTATTATTATTATTATTATTATTATTATTAAAGTTTATTATTTTAATAATATAATTAATAATAATTAAGGATTTTTTAGTTTAGTAATTATTTTTGTAAATTTAACGTTATTGTTTTGTAATAAATTAATAATATAATTAATTATTTTTGTCAATTTAACATAATATATAAAACATGTGAATAATTTAGTAATCAATAACAATTTAATATATTTGTTAATTTAACGAAGTTATGATTTAGTAATTTTTATATAGTTATAAAATAAATAAATAAATAATTTTTTAAATAAATACATTGTCAAAAATCAAAATAATGAATAAAATAATAAAACACCGTTCATTTGGTATAGAGATGGCCTTAACTAGATTTATAGGCTACTAACCGTCAATGCTTTCTTATAGATATGATGAGAGTTTTCATACTTAAACGACAATTTTGGAGAGCTTCTACTAAAGAGATTAGAGATAAAATTATGAAAGAACTCAATTTTATGTAGAAAGAAAAGTAGAGAGAGAGTACCTCTAGTTAGCCAAGTAATTATTTCTTCTCTTGTTGTTATTATAAGTTTTGTAATTTCATTATTTGTGATATAGTAGAAGTTAAATGGATTACGGTCTCGTGTGGTTTTTCTCTTGCATTAAAAGATTTTTATACATTAAAATCAATATTTTTCTTGTCAATATCTTGTTTTGTCACACAAAAGAAGGAAAAATTATTTTGCTGCGTATTAGTGGTGGACGGTTTGACCCCACAACTAAGGGTGGGCATGGGTTGGGTTGGATCTATTTTTTCTCCAACCTTAATTCATCCCAACATGGTCGGTCCAATTAATGGTTTAAATCCAACTCAACCCAAACTTGATTGGTCGGTTTAGGCTTCAGCCCAAATAAAGTTGGATAACCTTTTTTTTTTTTTTTTTTTTTTTTTTTTTGAATTTGGATAAATTTTTAAAGTGTGAAATTATTTGAAAACCTTCGTTTTTTAATACTTATATAAGGAACTTTTTCTAAAAAATAATAAATAAATAAGTTTAATGTTTATGAAGCATTTTTTTTAATTTTTTTTTTGGATTTATTCATTTCATCATCATGTTCTTAATTTTTACTTTATCGTCACATAACATTTCATTTGTACATAGTGTTTATGTGAATCAATCTATACAAAGAAAATGAACGTTTATAAATTACAAGTCCTCATATCTTTACTATTGTGTTTATTTAGGTTTTTTTTTTTAATTTTTTTTTTATATTAGATATTAATTTTTCTAATTCATCAGGTGGGTTGGATTGAGTTGTGTTTTAAATCATAACTCGGGACCTAACCCAACCCAACCCAACCCAATTGAACTTAAAAAAGATCGGGTTGGGTGGTTTGGGTTGAGTTTTGCCCAGCTCTACCTACAACAATTTCCAAGAATGTAGCTTTTAAGTAAACTTAAAAAATGGGCAAGGTGCAATTATTTGAGTACACATTAGGTGGCTCTAGATTGTTAGAGGCGGATTCAATTTTTTGCATTCGATTACGTTTAGCGTTAATACTTAGTGCAAGCTCAAAACTTTTCTTTAGCAAAAACCTTTCAGAATCTGCATTCCCCTTGGAAATATTAAAATTGAAAACACTCAGTGAAGATAAACTTAATTGAATGCTACAAGGTAACTGCACAACTATGTAAAAAACATCATCTTTTGGTTCCTTTTTTGATCATATTGTCATCCATCATATTGTTACAGACTCTAATGATGATAGAATCATTGTCATCAATCGTACAACACAACTTTCTATCAAACTTACTAGTGCATTGAACTATCATGCATGGTATGTTCAAATTGGAAAACTATTTATGGTTATGATCTTGAGTGCTTTTAGATGGTTCTTTTACTTGTCCAACCCAAATTATTGCCATAGCCATGCCTATTGAAGCACCACACCAAACCCCGAAATACTGACAATGGAAGAGGCAAGACAATCCCTATTTTTATGCCTTGATTTGCTCGGTTGAAGATCGAATTGTTATCACGATCCAATTTATGGGAACAGTTGTTGAATCATGGTCTAAACTTGAGAAGTCCTATGCTAGCCGAACCCTGTGCATTTAATGATTTTGTGAAATTCTCAGTAAGACTAGAATGATGACGTGGAAGATATAGCCGAAAAACTCTCTTGTTGGCTCACCACTAATTCACACTGTTTTTATTGTTCTTGGTGATGAGTACTCTCAACTGAATGTTGCTATTCAAACAAGGGATAAGTCAATCACCTTTAGAGAACTCCAAGACAAGTTGATGGGCATGTTTTCTTAAACATGCTCAACTTAAGAAGAATCCCTTCCTGAATTAATTTAGTCAACCGGGTGACAACAGAACGAAGAGAGAAACAATTCGAATAGAAGAAATTTTAATTATAAATGTCAATGTAATAGTAATCACAATAAGCAAGGTGTTAATTTTGGTAGTAACTTTGGCAATTGTCAAGGCCAACAATGGCAACCTAAGAACTCTCCCTAGAATCGTGCACCGTGTGACAAAATTGAACATGAGCCTGAGGACAGAACTCGTCCGAGACAGGATTAAAGGTCAAGTTTAGGAGTGGTCGGCTCTGATGTTCGGACTCTTCAAGATAGTTGGAGTACTTGTGTCGGATACGGCATGACATGGGTACAAGTATGGGATATATGTCAGATCCTCCAAATTTTAACGAGACACTTCGTCTTTTTTGGTTCTCCTTCTTTTTTTTTTTTTTTTTTTTTTCTCTTTTCCTTTACTTTCCCTTTTCTTCTTTCCTGTTTTCGCTATCTATAAACCTAGCATTGTTGCCAAGAGGGTGGAGAAGGATAGCTGCGCTAGGTTTTCCCTTCATTTTCTTCTTTTTTTTTCCCCTTCTTTCTCTCTTTGTAACGGTAGTTTAGAGTTTCGTTTGTATAAAATGAAAATGGATTGCATATAGTGCTACTTAGTGCTCCACTAGGTCCAAATTGCAATGAAATCATTCATTTTCTATTTTATATAATATTTAATAATTCCCATGATTGAAAACCAAACCCGAAAATTCAATTTTATTCGTTTTAACCCTTTATTTAATGCTCATTTCTTTCTTTGTTAATAATTTATTTTGGTCGATTCAAAATGACATTTTGAGTTTGTAAAAAAATTGAAGTTTGAAAGATGTACCCACATACTCGTTTCCGAAATTTGGACTCTTTTTAACCATGTTCCCGTATTTACACATTTTAGAAAATAAAATATTTGACACTTGAGTACTTACCCGTACTCGAGTCCCAGCATCATAAGTGGTCGACACCATCATCATCATAGCTTCTCCTTCTTCCTGTCGCCACCAAAACTTCTATTAGTTATTGGCATCAACATTTAGGTCATCCATCCCTCATGATTTTAGAACATGTTTTGTCGATTTGGTAAACTTTCTAGGTCTAGTTACTCATATCATTGTAATAAGAGTCATCACTTACCATGTTAAATTCTTTGAGTATTGTGTGTTAAACCTTTACAAATTTGATATACCAACGTTAGGGGTTCAACCCTTATTTCCTTTTTTGACAATTTTAGATACCATGCGAGTTTTCGTTGATTGCCATGCTATGTATTCTTAGTTATATTTGATGAAACAAAATTCTAATATTGAATAAATCTTTGATCTTCTCAAGTCTTTTGTTGAAAAATATTTTTTAAACTTTAGTTAAAACTTTTATTTTGGTTGAGGAGTAGACTGTTAAGGGTTAGTCCTACACTAGTTAACATGACAGTAGCACCTTGTATTGCTACTACACATTCAATTGGTCGGTATTGCTTAAAGATGCTGCCCTTCCATTGTGGAAACAATTTTTAGTCTATTTTGTCAATTATCCCTATCTTTAATTTATTTGTGGTTAAAGCTACAAAGGCACGATGTATTTAATAAGTTGCCTTTGCACTCCCATTTATCCTAGCCTCTCGTATCGTGGCTTATTGGTAATATCAATAAGTTCATGTTCAACTCAAAATGAAGATTCCTGATAATATCAAGAACCTCATTGCCCTACTACCGCATAGCTTCCTCAATAACTTTTACCTCGCGAACTTTCACCTTGGAAAGGCTAGACTCTACAATAGCCAATTTTATTTCATTACTCTCCAATTGATTGCAAATCAAAGTCATTTCATTCTTTTCATTGTAGATGTCCTTAGAAGTAACATATTGCGTGGTCTTCACCAATTGGATCTCCTATTAGATAAGTAAAATTTCGCATAGGCTGCTTAGCTTTTCTTATCCAGCTTAAACTCCTTGGATATTTTTCCTAACATCGGCCACAAGGAAAGCCTTCCTTGTAGTAAAGACTTCAATACCTTCTCATCTCCTTGTATTTGGCCTTCTCCTTCTCGGCTTCTTCCAATCTTTTCTGCGGGTAATCACTATAACACCACATGCTTGCTTTCATATCTATCTAGATTATTATTAGTGTTAAATTTATTTCTTAAATTAGTATAATTGTATTCATTGTGACAAATTATTTTGTTTTTACAATGAAATATGTTCTAGACGTCCTAAAACATCGGTGTGCCTATTAACCTACGTTTAATATGATTAAATTATATAATAAATTGGTTTTATTATGTGATTTTAACTCGTCTTGTTTTTGTATTGAATTTAGATGTATTTCCTCTTTTCAATAAGTGCATTTTTGAGTAATTTAATAATATAAAAATAATATTTGTAACAACAAAATGGGTTTTAAATCAATAAAATAATTAAAGGATTCAAATAAGTTAATAAGATAAGTAAGGAGTGTTAAAATTTATTTCCATACATTATGCCAATTATTTGTCATTAAGTTAGAAAATAAGACTTTACCTATTTTCTTCACCGCCTTACATGTTAAAATCGGCTCCATGATAGCCATGAATGAATTGGCATTTTGAATTCTGGAAAATGATAATGATGGTAAGGTATGGAATTTTAATCATTAATTTACTCAATTGTTTAATTTTGAATTCAAAAGGAATCATGATATTTTATTTGATTAGTATTAAAATAATGTTTCTATTTCATTTTATATATGAAATGAGTGTGCCATTGGCTGTTTAAATATATGTTGTACGTATATGTATAGATGAGCGTGCACATTATATGTGCCAATATATGTATATGCCTGCACGTATATGTGTGCGCTTATTTAATAGAAATATAAGCTGTAGGTATTATTATGTATATGTGTGTATATACTATATATAGGCGTGGGTGTGATTAACATATGTATATATGTATGCTTTGTATATATATGTGTCTATGAGTGATTTCAACTTCAAAATTTGTAGGAAAGTCAATCTTATTTACACGTAGCTTCTTCTTTTTTTTTCTTTTATACAACGACAATAATAAATTGATATTTGTCAACAAGAGAATAATGACACATGTTTTATAATATACGTTATATACGACGGATGCAGCTCAGGTCAGTGTGTTTTTTTTTATAATTCTTAAGATATTTGTCAACAAGAGAATAATTATAGCCATGTCATATTTTTATGTTTCATTCTTTAAGTCAATGAAGCAAGCTTTGAAGAGTTCAAAACGT